ATCGAAAGCACAACAGGACGAGCAGACTTGGTCTTGCCCTCAGTGCAACGCCAAAGTTCCCGACATTCAGAGTGCGATCAAGGCGCACAAACGAAAGTGCCCCGCCAAGCCCAAGCCCAGAGCCAAGCGAAAGAGCAAAGCCGATGCGGAGCCAGCGGCCAAGCGACTTCTGGAAGAGTCATGCCAAAGCCCACCAGCTCCAAAGCTGGACAGGACAGGTGCTCCGGAACGAGACAGCCTCGAAGCAAGCACTCAGCCGGAGAGGTTTTTCGAACGTCAGTCAGGTTCAGCTTCGGTGCGGAATCCATGCCCTCAACAATGCCCTCGGCTTCCATTTGGTCAACGCAAAAGACATGGTTTATGCAGCCGATGCTTTCTTGTTTGAGAATCAGGAGCTCGCAGACAACGTTCAGGACCACCTTGGGCCTGAGGGAGATTATTCGTTCGAAGTCATGAGCATGGTTCTCCGCACCAAAGCCATGGAAGCATTCGGGCAGTTGCGCTGGCAGATGGAAGACCGCCGCGCCAGGAACATCAAAGACCTGGAGGGCTGCGTGGGCGCCGTGCAGCATCGGAACGGGAGGCATTGGGTAGCTCTGAGGCGCTCGAGGGAAACTTTTCTTTTTTTGGATTCTTTAGAGGCACAGCCTCGCGACCTAACAGTCGGGCAGCTAGAAGAGATCCTGTCGTCTCACCCAACCTACGCCGTGCGCCGGCTGTAATGGAGCATCGCAGCAGCAGGAAGCGAAAAAGACGAAGGCATTCGGCATTTGCACGACAGAGACCATGCACCAGCAGTTCAATGTGGCACAGCTCTTGAAGTAAGCGCTCCAAGCGTTGCATGTTTGACTGAGCTCACTTTCCCTCCAGCTTGGTGCTTGAATTTTTGTTTATGGCAGGCGCTGAGGCTCAGTTTTCCTTGCACATATCCAGAGCTTTAGCTTCGCATTTCGCGACCATGGCGCCCTGTCAGCGATGCGGAGTGGGCACGCGCAGCGGCCAGGGACAGGGCTGGTGCAGCGACCCGCAATGCCGGCAAGCTGAAGCAGAGGAGCGCCGAGCTGCAAAGAGGGCCTTGCAGCAAGAGCGGGCTGCTAAGGGAGCCGGCAGACGTGGACCCGTTCCCTTACAAGACAACCGTCACGCGAAGAGGCAGCAGCTGCAGACCGAGCGGGCAGCGGAGGGTGCTGGCAGCCGAGGTCCCAAGCCGGAGGAGGGCAGTCGTCGAGTACAGCGACCGCAGCTGCAGGCAGAACGAGCAGCGGAGGGTGCTGGCAGCCGAGGGCCCAAGCCGCCCAATCCAGAGGAGGGCAGCCGTCGAGTAGGAGCTGCAAGCTGAGCGAGCAGTGGATGGTGCTGGCAGCCGAGGGCCCAAGCGAGAGGAAGGCAGTTATCGTGACCAGCGGCGGGAGCTGCAAGCTGAGCGAGCAGATGAAGGGGTTGGGAGCCGTGGCCCGAAGCCTATCGCAACGAACATCCAGCAGCAGGGCTACCCTTTCCCGGACGAAGCAGGCCTCAGTCCCGAAGATGCAATGGCCCACTACCTCGCCTTTACTCGCAGCTGGTGCAAGTTCGGGCTCTCCAGAGCATGCGAGATGTGCGGAACCTTAACGACAGCAAGATATTACAAACAATCCAAGGCGACGGGCAAGATGATGTGCAAGACGTGCCGCGAGAATGCAACCAAGATCCTCCTACCGGATTTGCCGCCCATCCCAGAAGCGCTGCAAGGTCTGCAGCCCATCGAGCAGCACCTGATTGCCATGGCGAGGATCAGCCAAGTCTTGCTGGACAAGCTCCCGGCCGGTGGCCCAAGCGCGCAGTGGGGCCGCATGTACGCAGTCTTGATGGAAGACCCCCTCATTTGCGACGTCTTGGCGGGCGCCACGCTCCAGGACGATGGCACGGTTCTGGTGGAAGGCGTCCAAGGATTGGTGGCCTCGCCGGCTCGTCTAGACTGCCTGCACAAAGCTTTGGTGGAGCTCAAGACCAATCACCGCCTGCACAAGGAGAACCCCGCAGTGGACGAAATCCTGGCGAGAATGGCAGCCGTTCTGACCAACAGCTCGCCGACCTTCGCAGATGCCTTGAGGCAAGAGTCCGGGAGATTGCCCGGAGAAGAACCGCACATGGCAGACGCAGCCTCAGCAGTTTTGGCGCCCGAAGAAAAGCAAGGAGAGCTAGAGATGACCTACCTGATTCCCAAGCATTTCAAGGCCCCCAACCCTGAAGCTGCAGAGCTGCAGAAAGTTCGCGGCATGTCGGCATTGGGCGACGACATGGACGTCAAATTCTTCCCACACCTGTTCCCGACGGGCACCGGCGGGTGGCAGGACCAGTACGGCAGCATCTCACAGTACGCCCGCAAGCGTCTTCTTGGCTTGGACCCGCGCTTCGAGTCGTCCGCAGCCTACATCATGTGGCTCCTCGAGATGCACACCAAGAAGCGACTAACGGGCAACATCAACGTGCGAATCGGTGGTCAGCCAGCCTCACATGGGAAGACGAAGTACCAGGAAGGCAGAAGTCAGATCTTCACCGCCC